GACCGTTTCATCACTGTGACACTCGAGTCTTTGCTCTGAAGGGGTAGACCTAGGCTTACTGTTCGACATTTCAAACTTTTCAAGTACCTTGAGCAAATACTTCTTCTGGCTCATTGTTACAACACCATCACTTTGCTCGAAATCAATTCCTAAGAAATGTGACAGTTTACCAAGATCTTTCATGTGAAATTTTTCACTGAACATGTGTTTAACATCACTCAACAATATATCGCTACTGGCTCCTATAATCAGGTCATCGACCCAGACAACAATGGCAATCATTTCTTTACCTACTTGTTTGGTATACATACAATGGTCTGCATGACTCTGAACAAAACTGTTTTCTATCAAGTGGTCGTGCAGTAGACAATTCCAATTTCTACCCGATTGTTTCAACCCATACAAGGACTTGTTCAGTTTGTACACCAGTTTCCCTTCAGAACTAGGTGGTACCTCAAAACCCTCTGCCTGTTCCACGTACAACTCACAATCTATTGGAGCATGTAGATAGGCAGTTTTGACGTCCATCTGATGTAGAATTAAGTCATGCTGTGCTGCTAGCTGCATTAAGACACGCACCGATGTAAGATTAGCCGTTGGGGAAAATGTTTCTCTATAGTCTACACCCTCGACCTGACTATAACCCTTCGCAACATATCTTGCCTTGTACGTTTTACAATCATTCGGACCATCCTTGATTACATACACCCACCGACCCCCCACTAAACTGCGACCTTCAGGTAAGGTGGTTAAAGTGAATGTATCATTCTCTTTCAAGGAATTCATTTCATCCCTCATGGCTGCTCTCCATGATTCAGCTTGGGGTGACTGCATAGCTTCTTTATAGTTCTGGGGAAATGTACTCACTTTATAACAACAATCTACAGTACAATTTACACTGTCATCAAGATCATCCTCTACAAGATAGTCATCAAGATACTTTGGCCTATTGCGCCTCCTATCGGGGTATCTCCTCTCCCTTTGGGCATTACCATCCTGATCAGGCCTATCCTGTTCAACAACACCCTGTTCAACAACAACATGACCAATGTCTTGCAATACAACATTATCATCAACTACATCATGTGGTACAACAGGCTCATTCTCAGGTATAGCCTGTGGTTTCACATGGTCAACATCAATGGGTATGTCCTCTAGGGTTTCATCATCCATTGGTACAGGGTCTGGACTAACATTCACAGGAATTTCTGTAGACCTACTACATGTACATGTACTACAATGAGTGTTGCTGGTGAACCTAACACACCTCGCTTTCTTGACTTCTTGACTGTCAGGGAAGTAGACAAGGTAAGCTGGACTTCCTTTGTCATATCCTACAAAAACACCCTTCTGACATCTAGTATCTAGTTTCTTCTTGTTCTGCACATACGCATAGCAAGTGCTGCCAAAAAGTGAGCAACATGCATGTGATGCATTTGCGGAGATGGTGCAGTGCCTCGATGACAGGAGCCTCTCATTAATCATGAGGGATGCGAGAGACGATGGCAGAAAGGCGTTTAAGATCCTTAGGGAGCACTACCGTTCACAGAGTAAGCCCCGTATAATAACTCTCTACACAGAGCTTACGAGCTTGAAGAAGTTAGATACCGAGACTGTAACGGACTACATGTTGCGGGCAGAGAGTTCATCTACTTCCCTGAAAATGTCAGGTGAAATGATAAGTGACAGTCTTCTGGTGGCAATGGTGTTGAAGGGTCTGCCTCAACAACAGTTCAAACCTTTCACCACCGTTGTCACACAGAAGGACAAGGCACTCACCTTTACTGAGTTTAAGGTGGCCCTCCGTAATTTTGAAGATACGGAGAAGCTAAACAGAGATGAAGGCGCCAAGGTTGAGGATAGTGTGATGAAGGCCGCATGGAAAGCCCGTGTATATCCCTCGGGTGGCACTAACGTGAAGTGCTACTCATGCGGGAAAATGGGACATAAAGTGGCGGACTGTAGGTCCAAGAAGCAGCGCTGGTGTGATGTCTGCAAAAATCACACTCATGACACTAAGTTCTGTCGAAAACAGAAAAAGGACAATGCTAATGGGGCAGGCAGCGACTCTGCAAAACGTGCCGAACTTGCAAAATCGCTAGGGGATAACCACACGTTCGACTTTGTGTTCAAAGTTGGTGAAATGATTTCACCAAACGTAAACGGCATGCTTGTCGATTGTGGGGCAACGGCACATATCGTTACGGATAAATCGAAGTTCGTGAAATTCAACAAGAATTTTGTGCCAGCTCGACACTACATGGAACTCGCCAATGGTGATAGATCCAACAATGTAGCCCTCGCCCGTGGAGATGCCAAGATCACGATCGTGGATAACAAGGGACGACAGGTAGATGCTCTCCTGAACAATACACTTTACATACCTACCTATCCCCAGGACATCTTCTCTGTACAAGCAGCTACCGAAATGGGAGCAACCATCACCTTCCTACCGGACTCTGCTCAACTAGTACATAGAGATGGTACCAAGTTTGACATTTTGAAGTCTGGAAAATTGTACTATTTAAATAGAGCATCTGAAATGAGACGTGATGTTACTTCAGACACGGTAAATGTCACTCGTAGTCTGAAAGATTGACATGAGGTTTTAGGACATTGTAATGCTCCTGATATTCTGAAGCTTGAGAAGGTTGTTAAAGGTATGAAAGTCGCTGGTAAGCATAAATTTGAGTGTGGCATATGTATAGAGGGCAAGATGACACAATACCGTAACAGAGACCCAGATAGACGAGCTACCGTACCACTGGAGTTGGTGCATTGTGATCTGGCAGGTCCTGTGGACCCAATTGCCAAGGAAGGTTTCCGGTATGCTTTGAGCTTTGTAGATGACTACTCCGGATTGATCCTCATCTACTTCCTGAAACAGAAAAGTGACACGACTCGTGCCACTAGGAAGTATCTTGCCGATATTGCACCATATGGATCTATTAAGTGTCTGAGAAGTGACAATGGGGGCGAATTTACTTCGCAAGAGTTTGAGTCACTCTTGATAGAAAGTCATGTAAAGCATGAGAAATCGGCCCCATACTCACCCCATCAGAACGGCACAGTTGAGAGATCATGGCGTTCGATTTTTGAAATGGCTCGGTGCCAATTGCTTAATTCGAAGCTACCCAAATCGATGTGGACGTATGCAGTCATGAGTGCAGCATACACACGAAACAGGTGCTACAACCCCAGGACACAGAAAACGGCATATGAAGCCTTTTCTGGTCACAAACCCAATCCCAATCAACAGGTTATGGGCCCAGGGCGAGAGTACCATTATTTGATGGAGACGAGGACAAGTATGAGCTGTGGGAGGTGAAGTTCCTAGGCTATATGAGGCTGCAAAAGCTACACGAGATCATTCAGAGAGAAAATGAAATTCAAGATGGCGATTCTGATGCCGCCACTGCCAGGACGAAAAATGCCCAGCCATACTAACGGAGGTAGACTCGGGAGAGAACGAAAGACACAACACTACTGTTTTATCACACGCTGGACGGATCGATAGACTCCCGTTTATTTCACTCTGTAGATGGCGCCACTATACGGGCTGTACATTTATCATACAGGGTGAACGGAGCAAGAATAAGCTACAATAAGTTTACACTCTAACACCCCCACTTAAACTTAAAGTGGATTCAACTAAACATACACACATATATACATGGACCAGAAGACAAACTGTCCAAATGATATACACAATATACTGGTACATGTCTTGATGTATATCTAATGACCAAAAATAAAGCTTCTGAACTTATCCAAATTAAACCTTGTTACTGGCTTTGTCATCATGTCTGCAACCGTCTCGGTAGTGGGGCAATACTT